GCTGTAGTCCTTTCAGCTATATGGCTAAGCCCTTTGTCTACTCTACCTTGAAAGGTTTCCCAGCCTCCCAGATATATAGGGGTTTACACAATTACATAGTACACTAGTTGCTGCCTTACTGGTTCGCCTCGCCTAACTATTACTTCTTATTGGAGGGATCAACATATTACTTCTCTATGGATTGTTTTTCCCTAAACTCATTGATGAAAATCATGTCCTTGTTGCACTGTTAATGGTGCAATGTGTAAAACAAGTTGCCATCCTTTGGTACAATTCACAAGTCTGATATGCTTTTCAAGACGCTCCCCTTCTCAGCTTCCCACGCCTTTTTTTTTTCCTTAAAATTGAGTCTACAATTGACTCTAGTGATGGATCTGAGTCATGTGAACTAAAGCTTACAACGTTGTCTAATTTAGTTGCTTGTGTTAAGCTTTTACCCTAACCAATTTGATAAGAACGATGTCTGAAGTTGGCTTTTAATAGCTGTTTTGCAGTTAGTTTTAGTCAAATTGGGTGGATAAATTGAGTAACCTGATATTGGGTATGAAATACCAGCTTTTTACTCTGTGATACAAATATAATATGATGTAATTGATCATATGATCGGTTGTTGGCTAAATATTTTTAACACATCTAACAAACTAATTAATACGTATACTATTTCTTTTCATTTAGAACTTATCATTTAAAAACAATAATGTGGACAAAACTGAAGTTTTCTGACCTACAGAAGACCCCCGAAGCAGGCTTCTGGGTGTCTTTCCACCTAACACTGCTCGACCTTCGCATGGTGTTAAGTTGTTTGGTGGTCCTGCTAGTTCTGATTCTGGTTTTAGTAGTGAGCTTGTGATGCATAGGGTGACCAAGACCATTGCGCTTATGAATAAGGTTGCTACGTTGGATGATCCTCGGTGTGAGCTATTGTTACTTAGGGCTTGTACCGGAGTTTCTAAACTCTACTTTGCATTGCGCACATGTCCCCCTAGTACTTTTGAGGCGGCTCAGCGCACTTTTGACGAGGCTCTTCGATCTTCTTTGGAGCGTATTGTTACTGCCTCAGGACCTGGGTTTGGCGATTGGCAGTGGCGGCTTGCAACTTTACCATTTGCGTTTGGAGGGCTTGGTGTTTATTATGCAGGTGATGTTCGGCATTATGCTTTTCTTGCTTCTCGGTTACAGTCTACTGGGTTGCAGACAAAGCTTCTACGACATGCTGACATTGTTGGTCATGGTCGAGCTTTTGAAGACGCTTTGGGTCTGTTTAATGGCGTAGTGGAGTCTGATTTTTTAAGTAATCCTAGTGAGGTCGCTGCCCCGAAACTCATGAAGAAATTGGCAGATATATATTTCACGAAGGTTACCGCTTCTGCAGAATCCACCTTTTCATTATCCCCTCGTCTATCAGCATTGTGGAAATCTCAGCAAGGAGATCACACATCTGCTTGGCTTCGGGTTGTTCCTATTTCAGGATTGGATCAGACTATGAACGTAAAGACTTACCGATGTGTGTTATGCTACCGATTGGGTGTTCTGTTGTTCTCTGCCTCGACACCGTGCTCTGCTTGTTCGAGGGTTTTTCCAGGGGATATTTTTGGCGATCACGCGGTGTCGTGTGCTGGTATCGTGGGTATTAAACATAGACATAATGTTGTTCGGGATACCCTAGTAGATGTTTGCTATCGTTCTGGGATTTCAGCAAGGAAAGAGGTTGACATTGGGTTGTCTGGAGCGAACGACGAGGCCCTCAGCTGATGTGTTACTTTATTCTTGGGATCGTGGTCGCGATGTCTGTGTAGATTTGACAGGATCTTCTCCTTTGACACAGTCAGGGCTATCTAACTTTATTCCTGGACGGGTTGTGCCTGATGCAGCTCATCGGAAGCGGGTTAAGTACGAGGCTCGTTGTCAGGCGATTGGATATGGGTTCATTCCCTTCTCCTTTTCTTTGTTTGGTGAATTAGAGAAGAAGGTTGTTGCGTTGCTTAAGCGAATTCAGAGGTTCTCGACGACACAAGGCATTGGAGCACATGCTGCAGCTCATATTTTTACTAGGGTAGGCTTTGCTATAGCTAGAGGAGTGGGGGCCCAGATTGTATCTCGACTTCCCACTAATTTATTATAGGTTGTATGACTTTTTGTTTTTGAGATAATAATAATAATAATAATAATAATAATAATAATAATAACAATAACAATAACAATAACAATAACAATAATAATAATCTAATATATATAAATAAAATAGGCATTTTTCAAGAGTCTTTGGCGCGCCACATAAGAAAATGTAATATTTTGACCAATGAAAAATTAGAATAATAATTTATTTTAGAATTAAAAAATTCACTCACCACCTAAGCAAAAGTGACAAATAAGATTCAAGAATTTTACCACATACATAAAACAACGAATTGTGAATAATTAAAATTTAAATTATACAAAAAACTAAAAATTATCTTTTTGAAAAAAACTAACAATAATCTTTAAATATTAGGATATAAATTATTAAAAAAAATTAATTAGTATTTTTAATTTTTTGATATTTATCAACAATGTTAAGATACGTGCATTATAAGTTATCATAAGGTTGTGCGCATTATAAGATAATTTTTGACAATACAAGCTCAAGAAACATAAATAAATAATACTTAAAATTATATCACAAATAATATTAGATTTAAATTATAAACGTTTTTAATAAAATTTGTGATACCTACGGTTATAAGATAATTTTTTACAGCGTTATAAATTAACGCATCATACGAAATACAAAACCCAATCAAGGGAATTTGTGTTAGTAATTTTCTCTCATTTTTAAGTCATCAATGGTTGGGTAAATCTTAGCTTAATTTTTAAAATTTTATATTTGTAATTATTACTTACATTATTTTTTTGGGATATTTAACGAGTATATGTGTATGTTTTGTTTAATTTATTGAATTTTGTTTTTACATGCCTATCTAATTTAATTGGGGAATTAAATTCGAGCAACAATTGATTGGAAAATCAAAGTACGAGCTCTCGCCTATTTGACATACTAAACATCCCCAAATTAAACAAGATAGCTTAATAAGTTTGTATATGGTCCAATTGGACAAGGAGGTATTATATTTTCATAAATTGTTTACCTTTATTAAATTTCATTAATATACACCTTTTTGGTTTTTTTATTAATTAATATAATGAAAAAATATAACTTAATTTCTTATTTTTAATTGTAGGGTGATTACGTTCATGCCTCAATTAAAGACAACATTGTCCAACACTTTCGTCCAAAATATATTGAAGCAAATAATTTCCTTATATGGAGCATGTTTATTTTAGCTTTGGAATTACAATATTTTCTTCAAAATACATAAATATTTTAACAAAACAAAAAGAATACATAATAATTAGAATTAGCATATTCAATTTCCAATAAATACTTAGAAGCTAATCTAAATAAATACTACTCATGTACAAAGGGATTTATAAAAAAGATTTATAAGTTTTTTAAAAAGGGAAAAACAAAATTCAAAAATATTACAATAAAATCCGTGCATCGCACGGGCTTACATCTAGTAATAATAATAATAATAATAATAATAATCAACTAGGTAATATTTGATATTTATTATGATTATATCCTAATAAATATGATATATTTTATCTATTTGATACTTGTTACGATTATACCCTAATAAATATGATATATTTTTATTAAAGACGGATGAAATACAATAAATTTCTATTAATATAAACCTACCATATATATATTTTCTTTATTCTAACCTTGAAAAAAAACATAAATTTCTCTTAATAAAGTCAATTATTTTGTGGTTGCAAATATATTAACAAAAATTCTCTCTAATTCCCTTCAATAGGAAGAACAAAGAACGTCGGCTTCCTTAGAGCCTTAATTAACGAAACCATCTATGGCAACCTCACCAACAACAATAGTTAAACACCATCAAACCAACACCTACACATCCTACGACGTCACGTGTTTCAACCATCGGGTTCGAACCATCGTGACATCTTGCCCCGACGTAGTAACATCTTGGATCACTCACATCCGATCCAACCATCATTCAACCATAATCGGCCTAGACACCGAGTGGCTAAACCCTATAGCAACCCTACATCTATGTGTAGGCCCTAACTGCCTAATCTACCAACTCCTCCACTCCCCCTATATTCCCTCGGCCCTCGAGGACTTCCTAGGGGACCCACAATGCAAGTTCTCCGGTGTCGAAATCAAAAGTGACTCTCAAAGGCTTAAAAAGGATTATGATCTACAGTTGTCAAGTACAGTTGTCAAGTATGGTGGATGTCAGCAAGGTTGCAACCGAGGTGGGGAAGGTGAGAGTAAATGCAGGCTTGAAAGAAGTTGCGATCGCGGTGTTGAGGTGGGAGATAGTGAAGGCTAAGGAGATCACAATGAGTAAGTGGAATAAAGAAGTGCTTGATGAATGTCAAGTTATGTACGCTTGTATAGATGCTTTTGTGAGTTATCATATTGGTAAAGAGCTTATTGATAAAAGTATCTAGAATATTATAAGAGAATTATGTATCAATGAATTTCAAGTCGAATTAGTGCTGCGACTTAATTAGTTATAAGGTGATGCAAGAACCTAAGGGATGTTTTTGTAATAAAACTTTGAAGGGATTAGTTTTGTTAATTTTTTATGTATCAATGACAATGTCAGAGATTTTTTAGACTAATTAGGGTTAATTTTTCAAAAAAAAAAGGCATGAAATTGGATTAGATTATTTAATTTTTCTGCTGCCCATGCATTCTATAAGCCAATGGCAGGGTGGCTGCTACAGAGTTTATATGGCTGAACATATCGATCACTGTACCACACTATTCTATATAAATGCATATCTGATTTTCAAGTGTTCAAAATCCAACCCATTTAGGTATGTCAGCAAATGAATAGGAGGAGCATTCTTTACCTCGAAAGCAGTCGGCAAATAAAAGGGCTTCAATTTCCATGTTTAGCCCACATTAATATGTCAAATTGCCAATAAGAGTACAAATTCACTCAGATCAAATCGAAGATGAAAAAAACGTGACAGAAATCAGTTAATATTCAAACGTGACAAAAAAAAGGCTTACATTCATCCACGGAGTTATGACATCCTGTTTTGTCCAAACTAGACTACATTTGTAAAACAGTTTCTTGAGCTTTGCATAAGATCACAACAGATGCAACTATAAAATGCTTGATCCCTTGGTCAAAATCCAATATTGTGATGTCCTAAGTCAAGCTGTCCTAAGAGGCGGTGACACCAATATGACACCATCTCCTCTAACAAAGAGAAATGGAACAGTGCGCCTTGTAGTCTGGGGACAAAAATCAAAATTTGCAAGATGTAAGAGTGTGCAATGAGTTAGTACATCTTGTAGAATCCAAATTCAGTTCATAGCAGTGGCCCAAAAACAGATGCATCCCATGCATGTAATTTGATTAAAATGTCTTTATAACAAGACTGCTTTACCAACATAAATATTCCTGAAGAACCCAGAAAAAACACCCATGGCAAGCTATTTCAGATAAGCAACTCTAGATTCAAGACATGATATAAGCTCTATAGTCTCTACAATAAACCACAAACACTGCAGGTTCCTCAGGGAACAACGGAGCTCAGCAGTTTTTACATCAAAACACAGTAGGGACCCTATATAAGAAGAATAATTTAAAGACTTACACTTTGTTTGGATAGGAAGAAATGGAAGGAAAAGAAGGGAAGAGAAATGGAGGGGGACAAAATCTCTTGTTTGGGTAAAAGATTGGGAGAAGGAAGGGGAAGGAGAGGGAGGGATCCATTTTCCCTCTCTCTTTAATAACCATAATCTCTCCAAAATTGGAGAGATTTGGAGGGAAAATGGAGCTCACCTCTCCCTCCCTTTCTTTTCCCCCCTTCCCTTCCTCCATTTTCCCTCCCCTTCTTTTCCTTCTTTCTTTGCTATCCAAACAAAGTGTTAGATAATCAAAGGCTCCCTTGGAGATAACAGAATGTAACAAAGGAATTGAGAATAAGTAGAAGAGCGGTTTCCTTTCCAAGAATCGTATGGCATTATCACAATCTTAATGAAGTTCTGCAAACATTATATAGCATGCAAGTGTGGAACAGCAGTTTTTTAGCCTTTAATATTCAATGTTTCTAGTCTTTCTATATGAAATGCATTTACATATATATGAAACTAGTGCCTACTGGGATTCAATTGTCACTGATGGAAATAATGTTTTAAAAGTCTATGGAGTTTCATTTACAGACAAACAGAGCAGCCTAAGTTATCCAACCATTATTTGGCTGCTCTTAACTAAATTTTGACTTGTTATGAGCCGGTGAAATAGGAAATTGGGCAGTTGGCCTGTTCTGGGTTACACTGGCCTCTTTACACATCTTTGACAGATACTAATCCCTCTTTTCCATATTAACAGACCGCTTATTGAAATGCACTATTGCTTATATTTTCAGATGTACCAACACAATGTTATTGGTCATCTTTGGATAGCCAATACAATGACAACTCTTTACTTGTACATAAACTCAACAGCCCAAGCCAACGTCTGATGATGAAACTCCATGTACAAATATATGGATTTAATTTGAATTTAAATTACCCCTCAATACCACCGTCAAAGGTGGCAATGGATGGAAATGGGTATTTATGAAGAAGATCACAAGTTTAGCATAGCCAAACATTATCATGTACATTGGTATGAGATTTTATATACAAAAATCAAGTATACCGCTACTAAACAAACCATAGACACTAATACAAGCATGGAGGGTGTATAAATTGACTTACCCGAACAATTTCCTCATAAGTCTCATCATCAATTTCCACAGATGTCACAACTTCCTCAACCTCTCCAAGAATCATATTCAAATGCTGATCATAAGCCTGCAAATCAACACAGGTAAAGCTGAACAAATATGTACTGCTTCTAAGCAAGATAAACAATATTGGGAAAAATAAAAAAAGTACACTTTCTATTTCTGAATATATTTAAAATTTTGGCACGCACACAATAATTTCACAAATAATTTAAGACAAAACAAGCTGCAGTTATTTAATATATCCATGAAAATAGAAGATTGGGAGCCTTAAGAAGGTCAAAAGCAAGAAAATTCCTCTGCCTATAACCTATAAATTACTCCCTTTGTTTTTATATAAATGCATCAATTTGACAGGCACATTTTCCGAGACACAACTTTGAACATTAATAGCATTAATTGTCTATTAGTAAAAATTGTAACAAAATTATATTATGAAAATAGACATTATGACTAATCTAATGATATACGGAGTATTATATAATAACATTTATTTATTTTATAGAGGTGAAAAAATTAAGTAAAAATCAAATCAACCATGGTATGTGAATAGTGCAATTGTCAAAGTGATACATTTAAAAAAAACGGAGGGAGTATTAGTCAAAGAAACAGGGCAAATAAAGCTGTAATGACCCTAACGTCCCTAACGCACTCGGGTAGGCTCATCTGAAAAAGGGTGAAACCTTAATTTGAAAAACCAACATAGTTGGGAAGAAAATAATTATCTTCCATGACAATCAAAAAACTCATTTTAATCAAATGAAATGAAAAGGGAAGAAAGCACACCAAATGATCTTTCTAATATCTCATAGCTTCAAAATACAAAGGTATCAATGTACAGTGTACTATGACAAGATGGAAGATAGAGATACATTTTTAAAAAAAAAAAAAAAAAAAAGGACAGAAGACCAGAAACAGCAATTCACACAACTCCAAAGAAACTGCCACAATATTTGTACCTAACAACATCCTCCCTTCCCTTCAGAAAATCAGACTGTGCATGCATGCACCGTTAAGGCCCCCAACACAGTATTCTCAGAGATTATCCACCATATATTCATAGTGAAATGGCAAGGAAGCAGAAGAGAGTCTCGCAGCTCCACTCAAACCATTGGTTGCATCATGTAATAGGCATTGCAAAAATCTAGACTAAGCTTAGTCCCAAAGTGAAGGAAAATAAATACGAAATGACTTTAAAGCTTCGACCCAAAACGTCATAAACCTGGTTTTTGGACATTTCTAAAGAGATTTTTTTTTTTTTTTTTTTACTCTTGTCACATCAACTTTGAAATTTCAGGTAGCAAAAATATTCACTACCAGGAAAAATTTCCCCCTATTCTTCATAACAATTCGAGAAGCTATTGAACGTGCCTAAGACTATAATATAGTCAATTTAAGCTGATACAACATATTTATTAGAACAAGATGGATGTGTCAGTTCAAATCCTACCTATTTGAAAGCCCAATTCAAATTTTTACAACATAAAAAGCAAATGCACCACTAAAACAACATAACCAGTTTCAAATTCAAAGCAAGTGAATGCATTTAATCAACAAATGATGAAACAAAATTGACAAATACACCCAATTTAAGCAAAAAAAGATCTTTTTTTTTTTTTGAATTATGCAAATTCCTAGTATTAGCAAGCTTGGCACAGAAGAATTAAATTCAAACTAGCTATGCAATATTGACAATTAGAACAAGCATTCAAAAACAAAAACCCAGAAAATTGAAATAAAAAAACTAACAATATACACAAAGAAATGAGTAATTACGAAAACAGGAACCCTAATTCCAGAATTAGACAACATCAACAACAACAAAAAGAGGAAAAATTCGAAAAACCCTAATTGAAATATAGTAGTAGATTAATAAACCAGAATTGATAGGAATTTAAAGAAAGAAATTGCAAGAAAAGGAGAAAGGCGAAGAGAAGTAGACATACATGGAGTTTGCCACGGAGTTCGCGGTCAGAACGAAGCTTGACGTAAATACGTTCATCGAGACTGAGACGAATGAGATCGAGAGGCTCCTTAACTGCGCTTTCTTCTTCTGTCGACGCCATTTTTGTTGCTTCAGAGAAGGAATGGAGGAGAGAGAAAGAGAGGGAAGAGGAAGGAGACTAGAGAGGGAAGAAGGAGAGTAGGATGGACTGAGAATAAGGAAAGGGTTTAAATTTTACAAATTTTTGCAAGTGGCTGGCCACATGGTGGTTAATTGTAGGCCAAATTAGAAAATAACACCTGTAAAAAGACCCGATTTTGATTATAACACCTTAACATTTCGAAATTTTATTATAACACCTACAAAAATCCCAAAATTTTAGTTTCACCACCCACTAACGGACTTTTGGATGGAAACCGTTAGTGGGGCCCGTCATGTACACGTGTCAGCTGTGTATTGGTTTAAAAAAAAGAAAAAAAAAAAAAAAAAACCCTAACCCCCTAACCCATCCAGCCCCACCATCGGCACCACCTACCCAGCCGCCGGCATCACCTGCCCTCGCATAATCCGGCGATACCAGGCCCAGCCCAGCCCTGAAGTTGAGCAGCGAAAAACCTTCCGGATTAACGCTTGCAATTGACGGTTTCCTGAGCAGTGAAATCGCCGGAACTTCACCGACGAAACTCACCGGATTCTGCAGGATTTCAGCCCGTTTCTTGAGCCACGAAATCTTCCGAACAACCACCTGCGAATCTGCTGAATTTCGCAGCGATTTCAGCCGGTTTTTGCGAAGCAACACCACCGGAATTTGGCTAAGACAACTTCCGGTTTGACGCCTGAAATTGACGGAGAACCACCTGCGAAATTTCGATTGGTGCTTGTAGCGGTTGTTGACGGTGGTTTGGTTGTGGGTCTGAAAGAGGCGAAGGGGCTAGGTGGTTTTCGTGGAGGGTTGTGGTGGGTTGGGGTGATTTTTCGGGGAGAAGGAAGGGGGAAGGGGATTTACGGGGGGGCTGATGTTGGTGGGGGTGACGGCCGGTGGTTTCGCCGGAGAAGGAATGGAATCCAACGACAGTGGGGGGTCTCCGGCGGTGTAGTGACGGTCGGCGGTGGTGGGGCTGGTGGCTGGGTTAGAGTTTAGGGGTTTTTTTTTTTAATTTTAATTTTTATTAATTTTTATTTTTAAGCCAATAAACAACTGACACGTGTCCCTAGTGGGTCCCACTAACGGTTTCCATCCAAAAATCCGTTAGTGGGTGGTGAAGCCAAAATTTTGGGATTTTTGTAGGTGTTATAATAAAATTTCGAAATGTTAAGGTGTTATAATCAAAATCGGGTCTTTTTGCAGGTGTTATTTTCTAATTTGGCCTTAATTGTATGTTGTTTCTGGTTTTAGTCAGGGTGTTACTTATATTATGGGGTTACTCGTAATGTATTATTGGTTTTAATCAGGGGTTACTTGTTTGGTATGGGGGTTTGGTTTGGGGTTGTAGGGGTTACTCAGAATACAAGTAACACCTACAAATAACCCCAAAATACAAGTAATTCATACAAGTAACCTAAAATACAAATAAGCCCCGACAAAACCAATAATACCCTACAAGTAACCTATGTCGCACCATGTGGCCTGCCACACTGAAAAACCTCTGTTTAAATTTTGGGTTTTTTTCTTTCTTTTGCGTACCTCTTTCTTTTGACACCAAGATTTTGTGGAAAATTGTACACCTATGTGCATTGGTGGTGTACGAAATTATGAGATAAATAAATTATACTGACATTATTCATAATAAATAATAGTAGCGTCTGAAGAGGACAATGTAATTTCAAAAGAAGATTATGAAGCCAATGAGCCTCGGCACCAACATTTTGCAACGCCCCTGTATTATGCCGCTGTACTTGATCTAAAAGAGTAGCCCGACACTTAGAAGACCGGGTAAGAAGATTATCCCCTAGAAAAAAAAAACAATAACCCGAGGTCGAACGGCGAGTGCTAGGGCACCCACCCTAATCTGCATCAGTATGGGTGATCAAGTTTGTAGGTGATGAAGGATATAAATGTAATTCGTGATCAATGTTGGTTCTCAGAGTTCATGCATGAATGAATTAACCTGCTGAACTACAAAAGCTATATTAAGGCGAGTAAAAGTGAGGTATTGTAATGCACATGTAAGACTGCGATGAAGTGTGGGATCATGAAAATTTGGTACTCACTCTGCACTAAGCTTGGATTGAGTATACACTAGAGTCGCCGCAGGTTTGCAGCTACCTATGCCCATGCACTCCAAAATTTCCTGCGCATATTTCTGTTGAGATAAAAACAAATACGATAGAGTACAATAATAGCAATGCCCAGATAATAACTCAAAGGACCTAAATCAGTCATCGGAAATCTTGTACGTAAGTGAGAAATAATATCCTCGTGTAACTGATCTAAAGAAGTAACCAACACAATTCCATAAACATATAAAAGCAAGTTTGTCATATCGTTCCCATGTTGGAAAATGAATAATAAAGAATTGTCACTCTTAACAATGGCAAATCCTGTATGTAAAAGATAAGTAGCAAACCGCTAATACCAAGCCCTTGGGCTTATTTTAGGCAGTAAAGACCCTTGTGAATTCTGCAAACATACCCTAGAAACCTCTTGTCAACAAACCCGAGGGGTTGATGCATTTATGCATGTAAATACTCTCATTCAAGTCACCATGCAAAAAAAAAAAACATTCTTGACATCAAGTTAGTGGATAGACCACTCGCGAGCCATAGTCAAACTTAGCAATGTACGAACGGTAGCCGGCTTAACAACCGAAGTAAAAGTTTCGTCACAATCAACTCCTTTAACCTGAGACTTGTCATTACACACTAGACGTGCTTTATGTCATTCTAGATCACCATTAGCATTCAATTTTTGACGAAACAACCACATGCAACAAACAATATTCACCCCCGTTGGTCTAGGGACCAATTCCCATGTCCCCGTTTTAATTAAAGCACTATATTCATCACGCATAATGACACTCCAATTTGGGTCGAAAAGGGCTTGTCCATGATGGTTGGCGGCAACTATGGGAAGGGGAGTGATGATAGTCGACAAGTGGTAGAGATAAGGTTAAAAAAATTTGTAGAGAAAAAAATAAAAAAAAAAATGCGGAAGCTAGGATCTAAACCTAAGTTTGTGATACCATGTTAGATCTTATGAAATTGGAGTATTTACCACTAATACATATATAAAGGGTTATAAGTAGGGATGGCAATGATCCGTTTTTTCACGGATCTGGGTCCTCAAATTTTGGACCCGACGGATTCGGGTCGGATCCGAGTCCAGGTGGAAAAACGGATCTAGATCCGGGTCCAATTACCAGACCCGGACCCGGATCCGTAGATCCGTTTTATAAATTTATTTTTTTAAAAAAATAAAATTCCTAATACAAGACTCACAAATTTCGGCCCATATCAGAAACTGAAATCAACCCACAAAAAAAAAAACCTAATTTTCTCTCTCTAGTTTCATTCTCCAATCTCCACCACCCAGCCTACTCTCCACGAGACCACGACTCCATCAGATCGGCGGCGATCTCCATTCAGTTCTGTTAGATCGGCGGCGATCTCCGTTCAGTCCTGTAATTCCCGTATTCCCTCCTCTTTTTAGTTTCTTTGTTGTTTACTTGTTTACTTTATATGAGCAAATAAACTAAAGTAGTAGTTCAGATTTGTTTGTGATGAATTTGTACAAGCTTGCATTTCAGTTGATGAAATTCTATGAAGATTATATGCTGAAATTTCGTGGGTTTATTTGTGTTGTTGTGCATGTTTTTGCTGCCAATTTGTGTGTTTTATTTATGCTGCAATTTTGTGTAATTTATGCAACTTTGTGTGTTTATTTGTTTGATTAATTTGTAATCTACTACTGTGAGGTCAATTAGGAACTACATAGTTACTTATTAGCAATTAGTTTCATGAATTAAACCTTAATTACTTCATAAAATCAATTATACTACTGATTTTTTTTTAATAAAATTATATTACTGATTTTATCCTTTATAATAATTTCAGTTTATGGATACACAATCAAATTGGATGAAGATTAGTCCTTTGGGGAGATGGATTTTGGATGCTCATATTGGATATATCATCGCTATTTTTTTTTATTGGTCATTTGTAACATCGTACTTTTTTTAAAATGTTTGGATTTTTTTTTTTCAAAGACAATATGTGTGTTAATTTGTATTTTTAGTTGTATAACTCTAATTTATGTATTGAACTTGGTTGAAATGCGTTTTTTATTACATTTGTTTCAAAAAAGTAGGCAAAATATGCAAGACCCGTTTTGGACCACGACCCGGACCCGGATCATTGGATCTGGATCTGGGTCTTCATTTTCTAGACCCGATGGATCCGGGGCAAATCTGGATCCAAGGTTGGAAAACGGAACTAGATCCGGGTCCATCCGGACCCGGTCCAGATCCGACCCGTTGCCATCCCTAGTTATAAGGATGAGCCCTAATCACATTAGGAAATCTCAAAAGATATTTACACAATATTCACAAAAATATATCCTTGTATAACAAAATATCTATCGCATATTTTACCATTATAAAATGCATAAAAATATGGGGTATTTCAAAAAGAGTTTTTCTTTCTATTTACCAACTATTTTAGTTTGGGGCCTCTTTTGAGCTTGTAGTGGATTGAACTCTACTCCTTACTTGATTGCCCACACCCAAATCTTATTCTCTAAAATTACTGATATAGATATAACATCTTCAATAGTGCTTATTATGGAATTGCTTACAATTTTTAAAAGTCTCAAGCTTTTAACTTGAGTATTGGAGTAAAACTAGAAAAAAAAAATGGGAAAAAAAAGTTATTAGACTAGCTAATTTGCTTGGAAAAGGGATGAGGGATGGTAGCCAATAATTCATTGACAATTGCAACTCGCTTAAAAAGCAAGATAGTAACTAACCTTGGGTTACAAACTAGCTATAAAGGAAATTAGCTTGAGATCTTATGTGGTAGTTAAAAACTAATTTAAGAAATAGCTTGCCATTGGAGATGGTCACACTATTTTACAATTGAAATTGAAAATTGAGAAAAGTGATAATTTATCTGACTAGGTTAGTTAAAAGTTTTAACGATGAGTGATGTTAGGAAAAAAAAAGTGAGATGTAGATTAGACGGATTAGTTTTAGACACTAAAGTGTTTCTCTGATCCAAGCTATATATTGGGCCCAATAATTGCTTGAATATCATTTAGAAACCTAGCTAATTGTTATTCCCTACACCCCTCTCTAGCCAAAACTACAGCCAAAACTACCTACTCCCCCTCACTAAATTACAAACATAGCCTTTCTAGATAACTCTCCATACCCATTTACACCACAATAAACAAGTAACCGACTAACCGCTTAAATATACGGAAAAAAAAAATAATCATTTATGTACTGCATATGGTTCATATTACATGTAACTTGGGTGTATAATTTGTGAGAGTTAAAAATTCTAAAGTTGCATAAAATATGAACCATGGTTAGAATTAAATTTTGATATTTATTCATTCTCATACAAAAAGATGTCATTTGACTTTTAATAATATTGTTCGTTTTCAAATTGAAAAATGTTCATTTATATTTTAATACTTGTTCATTATCGTATATATTGAGCTATACATGTTTATTTTATAATAATGTGTTTATATATGTATGTATAATGTTTATTAAGTTTTATTTTAATAAATTTGATCTCTTATTACACAGGATAATTATATAAGAATGTTGAAGAGTATGAAGAATGTGATTCTTATATTGAGAAATGATACATACCAAAGAAAGTACACAGGTTATATATTGTAAGGCTTGAAAAGGGTACAACCTGACAACAAGAAAGATGCTTTCATATCGGTACCATTTATTTATACCAAATGTATTAAATGGCGATCGATGTCATTTTGGAAGATGCATATGTACAATTTAGAATAATAATACAGTAATAATTTTACTTTTAAGAGTACGAACTACTATGTGTATTAGTAGAAGAACTTGTTACAGTTGTAATTGAAGTTTATTTTTATATTTGATACTATGTTTATATACACATTAATACATGTTCATTTTCATAATAATGCATGTTCATTTTCATATTAATATATGTTCATTAGCGTATACATGCTCAATTTTATTTTGATAGATGTTTATTTAAATTATATTAAATGTCCAATTGCACATTTAAAGATATTCATTCAAGTTTTAATAATTGTTCATTTTATATAATTTAAAATGCTTTTTGAATATTAACACTACAATTTAAAAGAGGCAATAATGTTAATTTTAAATTTTTAATAGACAAATTTACATTTTGGAATCAAAGCTAAAGAAAAGCTTATTTCTAATTTATGAATTCACTCTTATATTGGTAGATGATTCAAAACATCTTGAGCATATGATATTTCTAATATTGAATTGATTAATGTGCAAATACATATTATATAATGTTCATTTATATAACAACTATTGTTCAATTTCATAATACGCCGTTTTCATTAACAAATTGACAACATTAGAAAATTATGGATACAATACATTGTCCAACTAATACTATTTGAAGAAAACACTCAGTGTAAGGATAATATAAGAGCAACAAGAAGATTCGCAAAAGCATAATATTCAATGTTCACTTATGCATAGAAATATATTCATATTATATTTGTTTACAAAATTATAACTCTATGTTTTATTTTTAAGTATTTACCTTTAAATTTTGATAGATTTTATATTTTTAAAGAATGAAACTTTTTATAATATATATAAATTGTGTATTTTTAGATTAAGTGTTGTCTTTAATAACTTTGTTAATTATGTACAATGAAATGATCAAATTTAGAAACATAAATGTTCAATAATACATGAATTCCTACTTGACCATTACCTGTACTTTTTAAAATGTTCAATATCACCGAGAAATATAATCATTATCAAAATCAAATATGTTCATTTACCTCACTTGTCTGAAAAAAAGTATTAAAATCAACCAAAACTCCTAAAGTATATATATTATATTATTTTATTTTTTAAAAAAACTAGTTCTTCCTTGCTATTGTTTGCAAACCTCTTAGTTACATTAGTATAAAAAGAGCTAAAAACCTATCGTACTTATAAGAAACATATTGACCACCACGTCAAATTCCTTAAACATCTCTTTGAACATTTGAATGAAGTTTATCTTTTCTCGAAACACTTGAAGTAACTTCAACATTTCTAGAAGATGTGGGAGCAAGTTGATCATTTCTTGGAACATTTGGACAAACTTCAACATTTTTAGAAACAATTGATGGAACTTGAACATATATTGTAACACTTGAAGGACCTTGAACATTTCTTGAAACACTTGAAGTAGCTTGAACATTTCTTGAAATACTTGAAGAAGCTTGAACATTTCTTGAAACAAGTTTAGAACCTTAAACATTTTTAGGAACACGAGGAAGAACTCCAACATTACCTAATGCTTCTATTATTCTGATCATTTCTAACAATATTGAATTATTGACACAAACATGAACGTTTCTTGGACACTAGCGGAAATTCCAACAGTATTAGAACAACTTGAACGAATTAATTAACTTGAACAGTAAGAATACATTGTTCATTTATACAAACATTCAATTTCTTCTCTTATATAAAAAATATTGATCATTATCAAAAGCATATATATATGCATGTACATATATAAAAGAATAAATGAACATGATAAATATAAATGATCATTTAATATTATCAAATTGATAAAAATAATGAAAAATTATTTTTTTAAAAAAAACACACCAACACAAAAACGAACATAATCATTAACATATATGTACAATAACAAAACACTAAACAATAAAAATCTAAATGATCACTTAGCATTATTATCAACTTGATTAAAATAATAAACAACTAATTATAATATTAATAACAATGTCAATTAATGAGCACCCAAAAATAACAAGTATACAATTATATTACAACATATATATATATATATATATATATATATATATATATATATATATATATATATATATGATCATTTAGCATTATTAAATTGGTCAAAATAAAAAATCGAATTGAAAAATATCAAAAAATACAGAAATTCTAATACTGGCGCTAGTAGAATAAACGTGATGGGAAGGCCCAATAGGCAAGCGGTTTTAAAAATCCGTTTGCCATTCACCCTATTTTTTTAAACCTATAATATGAAATGGCAAGCGGTTTTGGCGCGAACCGCTTGCCAATTAAAGAAAAAACCCTAAAAGCGCTTACCCCTCCTCTTTTATTTCGTGAACTGTTAAACATCGCCCGCAAATTCCTACATAAAGCCCACAAAATAAGAGTGAAATGACACTTTTGCCCTCAAACTAAAAAACACAATTTCTCTCTCTACTCTCTACTTCCACTTTCTCTCTCTAAATTATTTCCAGAGCTATGTCGAGGCGGCCCGGCAAGGAAGTGGCGGCACCGGCGGTGGGCGGAAGGCGGTTTGCCGGCCAGAAGGTAATTTTTTAAATTTTTGTAATTTTTTTTTAAAAAAAAAAACCTCCGGCGACGGTGGGGCGCCAAGGCGAGACGCCACCACCACGGAGGAAGCGCCTAGGCGCCACGGCCGTGGTAGTGGCGTCTGGGCTAGGCGCCGCCACCACCGTACGGGCGTCTTGCCTAGGCGCCTCCTTCTCTTTTTTTTTTTTTAAATTTTTTTTTTTGTTTTTTTTTAATTTTAAATTTTATTTTCGAATTTTTTTTTTTTTTTTTAAATTTGTTTTTCTTTTTTTTAAATTGTATGTTCCCTTTTTTTTTTATCTTTTTTTTTTAAATTTTGTTTTTTTATTTGTTTTAATTTTATGTTCTATTTTTTTTTTTTAAAAAAAAAAATTGTTTCTAGTTTTAATTTTTAATTTTATGTTCCTATGTATTTTTTTTTTTTTTGAATTATATTTTTGTATGTAAAAAAATTATAAGTTCCCTTTTTTTTTTATAAATTTTCTTTAAAATTTTGATGTTCTTCTTTTTTTAAGTTTTTGCAATTTTAAATTTTTTAAGTTTTGTTAGTTTTTTGTTTTTGGTTTTTTCTTTGCATTTTTGATTTTTTTGTTTTTGTTTATGTTTTTCATTTTTTAGTTTGTTGTTTATATTTTTTGTTTTTGGTTATATATTTTATTTTTGGTATATTGTTTTGTTCATATTTATATTTTTTTATGTTTATATTTATATTTTTTATGTTTTTATTTATATTGTGTTGTTTATATTTTTATTTTTTATGT